CATAGTTAATAAACTGAATGCAATATTTAGTATCTTCATATACTATTTATTGTTGCCTCTGCCTTAAAATCCCAAATTACTCTGTATTGTGTTAAGTCTTGTGTAGACTTTTGTATAGAATCTGTCAAGTTATAGTCATCATACTATAGTTGAACAGTTTCTGATATCACTGTAGTTAAAGGAAAAACTACAAGTTAACAATATAGAAGAATATTAAAACCAATATTATATAAAACTTCAATGCAAACTTATAATAAGACTACAAAACATAGTAAATTAAAAAACTAAAAAATTAGAAGTTTATTTTAAAATTTCTAAATAAAGAGATAAAATAAACTTTTAATATATAATTAAATTGATTAAAAAGCTTCAAAGAGATAGACAGATAAACTGAATAACAAATATGTAAAAAAGCATATACACTAATTAGATCATTAGATTTACTAAAAAAAAATACAAAAATATACTATACTAGGCTATTTTGATTAGTAGTTTAAGAAGTACTATTAGTTTTAAGTAAAAAAAGTAAAGTAAAATAGTATATTATAAAAATAGATACTGAGGTTTTAGTAAACTTTATAAAAGTAAAAAATAATATAATATAGAAGTTTAACAGATAATATTTGTAATTGCAAATATTAATTTAACTATAATATAATACCATAATTCAATAAATCAGTGAGTTTGTTACTAATTTTTTCCTATTCTTATGTAACCTATAGTGGCTAAGTCAAAATAAGCATGTTATATTTGGCAGAGTAGTTTATTCATTAGTAGGTACTACTTTTTTTCTCTTTGTGTCTTTTTCTTTAACCTATTCTTCTATTAACCTTTGCTTCCTCTTATCTTTTTTCCTCTTCCTTAATCTGGAGCTATAGTATATTAAATCAGGATTAAAGTCTTTTTTTTCATTTAATAGCTTGATCACATGATTTATAATAAATGATTTATAAGCAATTTAGTGATTTAATAATAGGCAAATGATACTTTTAGTTTGGATGAAATTCTAGTTTTATTTTTATTATAGGTTTGATACTTTAAGTTTATTTTAGCAAATATATATACTTGGAGGTATTGCTTGTTACTTTTTCTCTAAAAAGAAAGCCCTTTATTTATAATAAACTTTTTATTTACATTTAAAGATTATTTTCAAAACTCCATTTTCAACTATAATAACTAAAAACCTAATGCCCCTTATACTGCCATTCTACCCAAAGTAACCAAAGTAATAAAAGTAAGATTTCTTTTACTTTTCATATGACCAGTTACTCAGTTAGGTAACAGAACCTAATTTCAATGATCAGTTATGTGAGACAATAACTGATTTTGGGGTTCACAATACATAAAACTAAATTAACCATATGTAGAATACAGAAGGTTTTAGTAAGTTTTTTATTAGAAATAAAGTAATCTTAAAAATAACAACATATATTAGATATTTTGAATAAGTGAAGTCTTGAAAATATTATTATAAAATAAAATAGATTATATATAAAAAAGGTTTAAATAAACAAAATCTAGAATTGACTTGCAAGTATAACAACTAGTATAAAACCTGCATAGTAATGAATAGATAGACTACTTAACTTAGACACAAAAATGCATATGCAACTAGTTGTAACCTTTTATATATAGATGCTTTTAAAAACATCTATATTCAGTAAACTTGAATAAAAATATTGTTTTTTAAAGTCAAGAACTTCAATTTAAAAAAAAAACTAACAAATCCAAATATCTAAAAATATAAACTTTAGTTTTTCTTGTTCAATTAAACTTTATTAATTATATCTGCTAAATATCAAAACTATTATTTTACTTTTCTATTATTTTTTATATATAAAATTAATTTAAAATTATTAATAATTATATTATATAAAAATAAAAATAAAAATGTACTTTCATATTGGGTGTTCTAAATAAGTTACACAAATGTAGTTTAAAAATCTTTAATGTAACTTTCTTATTAACTAACAAAATTTTACTTTACATTTAAAAAAACAATTAAACTTTAAAAAATAAATCTTGATATTTAATAAATTGGTTTATTAATTATTGCATATGTAATATATTGCATTTTTTTGTTGTCTATAAAATTTCAAGATTTGTAATTATTATCAAAAATACAAATCTTTAAAATTAGTTTTGTAAATTTGTGCTAAAAAAGCTTTTTAAATTTTTGATTATAAAACTCTTGTTAAATATAATAATAAAAAAATTGGCTATAAATTTTACTATTTAGTTTATTTTAACTTCTAACTTTTATACTAACTTTAATATATATTTTAAAAATTATAACAAGGATGCAATGCATTTCACTATGCAATAATTAAATATCTTATATAAAATTTAGAAACCAGATTATTTAGTTTTGTTGGCTATTTATGATATAGATCAACTAATAATTTAAAAAGCTAAATATCAATTTTGTATGTAAAGTTTGCTTAATTTTAAATAATTTAACAAGACACTTACTAGCAGGGATTTCAAAAGAATCGATAAGCTTGCTTCCTAACGACAGTACAATCAGATAGAAATATATATATTAAATCTTATTTTTTAAAATAATATAAATACTATCATCTTGAAAATTTTTTAAATAATATAAATACTATTACCTTGAAAATTTTTCAAAGTTTTGCTTAAATTTTTGCTTGTATAACTCGATTGTTTATGAGTTTCATAAATAAGTGGTGCTGGAAATTTTTCAGTTTTAATGGTCTTAACTTGTTTATATAATTCTGTTTTTTCATTGGTTATATCATATTGATATTGCTTAAAACTATCAACTAATTCTTTAACGTGTGGTCTGTTTTTAGCTTCACCGTCTAAGCACCGATTAATTAAATTTAAAAGTAACTGAGGAACTTCACATTTGATTTCAGGTCTCTGGCCTCCCAATATTTTTAATGCTAGAGCAGTATCATGTGGAATATTATAATACGGTGGATATCCATTAAAAATTTCTAACATAATAATTCCTAAAGAATAAATATCTGATTCTTGAGTATATACGATATTTTCTCCATTTTTTAGGGCTTTTAACAATTCTGGAGCAACATAAGGAAGCACTCCAAAAAGTTCTTTAGAATTTGAGCCTTGTGAAACTGGTTTGCATAAACCAAAATCAGTTATGTAAGGAGACAAAAGACTTTGATTAACAATATTTCCAGAATGGAAATCTTTATGTATTAATCTGGCTTTATGAATTGCGCAAAGTCCCTGGGATATATAGCGTAGGTTGTCTATTTTGCAAATCCAATTTAACTCATGATATCTAGAGTCTAATAGTTTCCGAAGACTTCCTTCCTTTGCATATTGCATTACTATGATATAATCACTATTTCGTGGATCCTTAGTAATTCCATAAATTGCAATTGATGAGTCACCCCCATAATAATGCTGATTTTTAACCTAAATATTAGTAGAATCGATTAAAATATATTCTATTTGTACCCGGTGGGCATGATATCCAGTATAAGAAAAAAAATCAAAAATCTCATGATTTTACTAAGAAAACCATGTGTAGTTATCTTAAGTAAAATTGGTCAGTATCAAATTTTACATATAACCAACATGTTTTAAATATTACCCTAACCTTAATATATATAGGACACTATATAAACCTTATACTGGGTATCACATCCTACGGCATAAATATTAATTTCTTATATTCATTATGTAATTAAAGGACATAATTCTAACTAAGGAGGGCTCCGAAATTCAAAAAGGAAATCCAAACAATAATTAATAATCAAATGATATTGTTGTTATTGTCTTTTTTTGAATTTCGGAGCCATCCTTAATTCTAACCTCTTCTAAAAAGTCTTCATTAATACATTTAGAGTCATTAATACGCTTTAAACAAACAACCATTTGTCGATTTCTCATCCACCCATTCCTTTGGTCATCAAATCCGTAGATATACCCGTCAGTCCATATTGCTTTAAAAACAACACCAAAGCCTCCTTTAGTAAGATATTCTATATTTGCAAATTTATTATAAGGTATCCATTCAATGATTTCACCAAATTTGGTTGCACGAAGTTGTGTTTGTTGAATAAATTTGTCAAAATCATCGTTGCCACTTGTCCACTTATGAAATTCTCTTCGAAATCTTAAACAATATGAGTCATATGCTTAATTATAATTATCTGCTAAAAGTCAGCTTAAAAATTAGTATAAATACCGTCTGATTGAATCAACATGTAATAAATTATAAATTAGTTTTTGAAATGTCGATTTTTACATATTATTTTATACAATTAACTTACTCGCTATTATGCATAATTATAGATACGGGTTAGTTAACATTGTAATATTGAATAACAAGATTTTTTACATAAAAAAGGTTATACAGTTGTTCCTGGGTTATATCCCCTCTTATTTGTTGCCTTAATTATATCACCATATTTAGACAGAATAAATTTTCTTTTTTTATGCGTGTTATATATTGAGTTATATTGAGTTATATCTCAACCTTAGTTATATCTTCAAAAAATTTCAAAACATATATAGAAAAAAGGGATGATATAACCCAGGTACGACTGTATATAGAGAACTTACGAATCATCACTATAATATTGTTAATGGTATATGACGTATCAGATATGTGGTTGAGATGATGGTTAGTTTGTATTGGAATGTCATGGTTACTGATTACATATTGTATACCATTATTTCTATTTTACTGTACTCACATGCTATAGTGATAATGACACATAGTACATGATTTAGACAACGTATTGAATTAGTTATCATTACTTCTGGCTTATTAATTATCTTGTAAAATTCCATTACAGAACTTACAGGCTATAGCGACACATAACATATAGTTTAGATGTATTGTTAGTTTTATTTGAATAATCATTGTTTCTAATTATCGTACATAAAATTCTGTTATATAACTTACTAGCTATAGTGATATAGTATATATATATGAGTAGCAATCAGTGAAAACCTGTAAGTCGATTCACAATCATTCACTACAGATTTAAACTAACTGTCACTCATATATATGATGTGTTGAGTTAGTTTGCATTGGAATTATTGATGTTATTGATTTACTGTGTTGTATAGAAATTCTGTTAGAACTTACTGTCTATAGTATAAGATTTAAATGACACGTTGAGTTAGTTTTTATTAGTTATTAGTTATTAAAAAAATCTTGTTAAAAAGCTTACTCGCTATAGTGTCACATGTATATAGTTTAGATTAGATAACATGTTAATTATCATTACTGAATTACTGCATCCTAAACTTACGGACTATTGTGGTGATACGCAATATGTGGTTCAGGTGAGGTGTTAAGTTAGTTTGTATTGAAATCATCATTGTTTCTGATTTACTGCACTTTAAAAAATTCCGTTACGGACTTACTCGCTATAATAGCACAGTATATAAATTTGGATAACATGTTGAGTTAGTTTATATCTGAGTTATTATTATTCTGTTTTAATGCACTGAAAACCATTTGTTGCAGACTTACTAGCTATAATAAGATGACATTCTAAGTTAGTTTGTTATTAGAATTATTATTTTTAATATACTGTACTGTAAAAATCCCGGTTCAGAACTTACAGATAATTGTGCTAACATGCAATAGAAGTTTAATGTGTTGAGTTAGTTTGTAGTGGAACGATTATTTCTAATTTATTGTTTTATATAGCTTACTGGCTATAGTGATATATTGTATATGGTATAGATATGTCGAGTTAATTTGTATGGGAATTATCATTATTTTACTGTAAATAAATTTGTTGCAGAACATACATCCTATAGTAACACAAAGATATGTTTCAAACGACATGTTGAATTAGTTATATTGGAATTATTATAATTATTTTAAATTACTATACTGTAAAAAAGTTTTGTTACAGAACTTACAATCTATAGCCAGTATATGGTTTAGATGATGTGCTAAATTAGTTGAATTGATTTACTATACAGCAAAAAAAAAAAATTGTTACAGAACTTGCTCGCTTCAGTATATGGTTTAAATAATAAATCGAGTTAGTTTATATTGAATTAATCATTATTTCTAATTTACTAAGAGGTAAAAGTTTTTGTTACACACAGTAGATGATCTAGTAGATGGTCTAGATAATAAGCTAGTTTGCCAATATTTTTGACTTGCTATGTGTAAAAAAAGCTTGCTACAGAACTTACCCACTATAATAACGCATGCATGTGTGAGTTAGTTTGTATTAATATGATCATTATTGTACTGTAAAAATTTTATTGCATAACTTACATGCTATTGTAACACAGTATACAGTTAGTTATCTTGTATTAGAACTATTCTTATTATTTCTGACTGCGAAATTTTTTTACAGTACTTACCCACTATAGTAACAAAGTATATAATTTAGATGACATGTTAAGTTAATTGTATTCAATAATTATTCTGATTATACTGTAATCAAATTTTGTTGCAAAACTTACCCACTATAGTAACAAAGTATATGATTTAGATGACATGTTAAGTTAATTGTATTCGAATAATTATTTCTGATTATACTGTAAACAAATTTTGTTGCAAAACTTACCCACTATAGTAACAAAGTTTATGATTTAGGTGAGTTAATTGTATTATTTTTATTATACTGTAAAAAAATTTGTTACAGAACTTACTTGCTATTGTGGCCACAAACATGGATTAGATGACATATTGAGTTAGTTGGTAGTGTAATTGTCATTATTTCATATTTCCTGTACTGTAAAGATTCCGTTATAAAACTTACAAACTATAGTAAAAGTATATAGTTTAGATACGAGTTATTTATTATTAGAATTATCATTATTTCTATTTATTACACCACAAACAATTCCGCAACGTACTCAGTAATATAGCTATAATGGCTCGCGATAACGCGGAATATAGTTTAGATAATGCGTTGAGTTAGTTGTAGTGAAATTATTTCTGAATTATTACACTCAAAAAAATTCCGCAACGTACTTAGTAGTATAGCTAAAATGACCCGCGTAAACGCGAGATATAATTTAAATGATGTGTTGAGTTAGTTTGTACTGAAATTATCATTATTTTTAATCTATTGTGCAAAGAATTCCGTTACAGAACTTACAGTCTATAATAATAGTATATGGTTTAGACGTTTTATTAGTTATATTGGAATTATTATCTTTGAGTTACTGTACTGCAAAAAATTTCAATTACAAAACTTACGGGCTATTAAGGTACCACATAGCATATAGTTAGTTATCTTGTATCAGAACTATTATTATTTCTGACTGTAAAATTTTTTATAGTATTTACCCGCTATAGTAACAAAGTATATGATTTAGATGTCATGTTAAGTTAATTGTATTAAAATAATTATTTTTGATTATACTGTAAAAAAATTTTGTTACAGAACTTACCCGCTATAGTAGAAAAGTTTATGATTTAGGTGACATGTTGAGTTCCGATTATATTGTAAAAAAAGTTTATTGCAGAACTTACTTGCTATTGTGGCACACAAATATAATTAGATGTCATATTATGCTAATTGGTACTGAAATTGTCATTAGATCTGATTCACTGTACTGTAAAAAATTCCTATAGTAACAGCATACGAGTTAGTTCGTATTGGAATTATCATTATTTCTGATTTACTATATTGAAAAAATTTCGCAACGTACTCAGTAGTATAGCTATAATGACCCGTGATAACGCGAGATATAGTTTAGATGACATGTTGAGTTAATTGTATTAAAAAGAATTATTTCTGATTATACTTTAAAAATTTTGTTGCAGAACTTACCCGCTATAGTAACAATGTATATGATTAGGTGACGTGTTGAGTTAATTGTATTATAATAATATTTCTTATTATACTGTAAAAAAAATTTGTTGCAAAACTTACTTCCTATTGTGGCACACAAATATGGATTAGATGACATATTTAGTTAGGTGGTAGTGTAATTGTCATTATTTCTTATTTTCTGTACTGTAAAAATTCCGTTACAAAACTTACATACTACAGTAAAAGTATTTGTTTAGATACGAGTTAGTTTTTACTGGGATTATCATTATTTCTGAATTATTGCACCGCAAAAAAATTCCGCAACGTACACAGTCATATAGCTATAATCACTCATGATAACGCGGGATATAGTTTAGATAATGCGTTGAGTTAATTGTATTGAAATTATCATTTTTTTTAATCTATTGTACTGCAAAGAATTCCATTGCAGAACTTACAGTCTATAGTAATAGTATATAGTTTAAACGCGTGTTGAGTTAGTTTATATTAGGAATTATTGGTTTAATTTAATAAAGTATAAAAAATTCTGTAGCTCACTCGCTATAGTGACACACGGTATAGTTTATAAAACATGTTGAGTTGATTGTATTAGAACTATTATCTGATTTCTGTACTGCAAAAAATTCTGTTACAGAACTTACGGTCTATTAAGGTTCGGCATAGTATATAGTTTAAATGGTGTGTTGAGTTTATACAGTATTGGAATTAGTATTATTTCTGATTACTGTTACTTCTGTTACAGAACTTACAAGCTATAATGATACACAGTTTATGATTTAGATAATAAGTTAGTATATCGAAATTATCATAACTGCGTTGTAAAAAAATTTGTTACAGATCTTACTAGCTATAGTGACACACGTGTATTGTTTAGATGATATATTGAGTTAATTATATTGCAATGATCATTTTCTGTTTCACTGTACTGTAAAAAAATTCCGCAAAAAAAATTTTATTACAGAACTTACAATCTATTTTCAGTATATGGTTTAACGTGTTGAGTTAGCTGTATTAGAATTATCATTATTTTGTATTGTAAAAGAAATCCTAAGAACTTACTCGCTATAATAGAACAAAGTATATGGTTTAGATGACGTGTTGAGATAGTTT